CCGACACACACACACCTCCTCCCAGCCCGCCCCGCTCTGCTCCCCTCCTGGCAGCTATGCTGAGGCCCGGTATTTTTTTCCCGTGGCCTGGTACCAGGCCGTGGCCCGGTACCAGGCCATGGCACATAGTTTGGGAAACACTGATCTAGACAGTGCTTGGTCCTGCTGTGAGGGCAGGGGACTGGACTCGATCTCTTGAGGTCCCTTTCAGTTCTAGTGCTCTATGATTGTTCTGTCATCAGAGGCCAAGAAGAATACTTTAATCATTTGTGTTCCTCTTCTCCAGACCATCTCCAATTTCACCACATCTTTCTTAAAATGTGGTACCCAGAACTGGACACAGTACTCCAATTGAAGCCTAATCAATGCAGAGTACAATGAAACTATTACTTCTCATTTCTTGTTCCTGTGAATGCATCCCAGAATCACGTTTGCTTTTTTCGCAACAGTGTCACACTGTTGCCTCATATTTAGCTTGTGGTCCACTATAACCCCTAGATCCCTTTGTGCAGTCTTTCTTCCTAGACAGTCACTTTCCATTCTGTATGTGTGAAACTGATTGTTCCTTCCTAAATGGAGTACTTTGCATTTATCCTTATTAAACTTCATCAGACCATATCTCCAGTTTGTCCAGATCATTTTGAATTATGACCCTATCCTCCAAAACAGTTGCAACCCCTCCCAGCTTGGTATCATCTGCAAATTTAGTAAGTGTCCTCTCTACACCATTATCTCAATCATTGATGAAGCTATTAAACAGAACCAATCCCAAAACAGACACCTGTGGAACCCCACCTGTTATTTGTCCTTGTGTCCGTTTGCTTCCCTTAATCATTTTCTAGTTTCTAACTTCTGACATCCTTCTCCACTGCATCTTTCTTTCATTCGTATTTTTTAATATCTGCCTTCCTTTCCCCTCCAAACAAAGTCAGTTTTTAACCAGTATCTCCTTCTTCCTTGTTTATATAATTTTGGACATCTAGTAAGGAATTCTTAAATTATTCCAATTATAATTTACATTTTTGTGCTTAAATCTCCCCTCCCAGCTCATTTGGGTCAACTGTTTTGAGCTTTGAAAAATTGGCCTTATTAAAGTAGCACATGTATCTATATTCAGACTGTTTGTAAGATATGATTACCTATACCTAAGCCATCTTTAATATATACTTCTGCGATCAGTTTCTCTAGAAGACCTTTCTTAACAGATAAAGAATTTCCTGTATTGGCAGCAACACCTTTTGAGTTAGGCAATTTTCCAGTATGGGAAGACCAGCATGGGAGAAGGAGCCCTCATTCTCCAGGAGAGCAGCTGGCTGCATGGGGGAGAAAATACACTGCCATGAGTGCAGGCCTGGGCCAGGCATCCCTGCTTCAGTCAAGAGCTGGCAATGCTCATGCTCTGTACAAACTCTGCTCTCCCCTAACACTGTCTACCTAGAGCATCATGCAGGACAGTGAAGAGCATTAAAGAAGTGGCTTTGCTAGAAGTGATAGAGCAGAAGCTAAAGAGGACAGAGAGAAGCCCAGATACTCAGTGCAGGCATTTCATGTGCAGCATCTCCACCCTAGGAATCTGCCTTGGGGCAGGAGAAAGTCATTCTTGTGCACACAGAATTCATTTGTTTCTAACAAGGGACAGAGCTAGAAGATGAGAGGCAGCAACAAACCCCCCACCTCTCCCTGTCCCATTCATGGACTGGAATCCTCCCACTGCTGCTGACTCTTCTGTTCCATGCCAGAATCCCCAGCCAGTGCATCTGGGAATCCATTTCAACTGCGGCAGACAGGCAAGGGACATGGTGCGAGGAAACTGTAGGAAGCACCGGGATCCACTAGACCAGAACCAAACATACCTGTGGACAAATAATTAACCCACAGAGGTGTAAAAGACCTCCTAGTGTAAGGATCACAGTCTAAATGATAGTCTCCTGACTACAGTCCTCCAAGCTCCCCTTCCACGGTCCGCACCATGACGTACAGTTCAGCCAAACCCACCACTGAAGCCACGATCACAGCCGACAGCACACGCTGGGGGGAAAAGAAGAAAAGGAAAGTTTAATTGATGCTGCTGGAGCTCTCCATTCAGCCTCCTGTGCTTAGTGGAAATGGAAGGACCCTGGCAGGAACGCCAACGTGCTCTGAACATGCC